CTGCTGAGCCTGAACGTGCACTTTTATACATCGCAAAGTTCAAACAACTTCAGTACATTTCTTAGATATAAATTGCTGTATGGATAAAAGTAATTGCTATAGTATAGAGCAATAACAATTAGTACACTGAGTAAAGCAGTGAGAAATCCATCTGACTACAGATTGCTTTTATTAACTAAGTCCCATTATATCCATGTAAAGCGTGCTTTACAGGATATAATAGTTCCTGAGATTTGGCTTACAAGATGGAAAATTTAATGATGCCTGGTTCTACAAGGTACAGAGTATTGCAGGCCTAGGACCAAAGGTTCAATACAGAGTTTCAGCAACTCACGTGAAAATACCCGTGTTTTCTATTTTAAGAGCACTCTAGAGCCCTGGGTTTTGTCCTGTTGAATTTACTGGCCCATTTCTTACATATCCGAGCAGAGGAAGACTTCACTTCAACCGGCCACCTAAAACCAAGTCCTCTCTCTAGTATTCTCTTCTTCCTCACTCTTCTGGGAGACAGACCTCAGTATCAGCTGGAAGAAAGCCCTCTTAAATATCTCTACAGCCAGCTTAGGAATAACAACTAACAGAGAGGTGGTTAAGAGCTTCCTCCTGACTCATCTTTCTGTTATGACATGCATCCCATTAAACAGCTTAATAAAATGGTCCCACCACTCATCCCACACCTATTGCAGAAGGACCCTCTGCAGTTCTTCACAAACACAGAGATTAAAAAACTGAAAAGAAAAATCAAAACTAAGGTCAATAAAGAGATTCAGGGATAAGGTATCTCACAGAGCATGTTAAATAAAATATAACCTAGAATCAAGGAAGAACCTGGCCTGTTCCACAGCTCTGGGGAACTATTTGTGCTACTTAAAAGTTGAATCTCAGCAATTAGTCTAGCAAACCTATTTTTTTTCTTTATAAGCCTGATGTTTTTTCACTGATCAGTTCCAATTTCTTACAGTAGGGAATTCTAACTTTTTCCTTTATGTTGTTACTTCATTTGAGCTGGATTGAAAGCCTGTATATAAGTTGTGCATGCACACAGAAGTACATGGAAATGTGTAAGCTGATGGCACCTTAAATCTTTATTTATAGTGCAACAATCAGCTGGAAATGTCTGTAGAATTCAAACCCATTAACAGAATATGAAGTATTTCTCCCAGGTCCTCTAGAAAGCATTCCTTTTTTCTGCTTCTCTGATGCTCTGCATGATAGCCTCTTATCTGAGCATAAGACAGCATTTTTTAAAACTATGTACACATGCTCATTTCCATCCGTGGGTTTTTTTTAGAAACTATATGCAGTTGGGTTCAGAAAAAGGCAGGGAAATAACACAACAGGTTTTATTTATGGAGTTCTGAGAACAGGCTCCTTAGAAGAAGGGATAGTCAGTAGGCATAACCTTCCAAAATTACAAGAAGTTGGTTTGGGGCAATGGCAGTCAACATCCCATATAAAAGCTTTTGAGCTGATGAAAAATTTGAAGGTGCAGAGAAATCAGATGTACCTAAGTGCTGCTTTCCTGTGAACTTCATTATCTGTGGGCCCATGTCAATTAATAAGCTTGTTTAACAAGCCTGTCTCTCAGTGCTGCATAATTATAAGCTGCGCTAAACACTTCTTGAAAGAGATCTAGTGCTTTGGTAGCTGAAGCACAGGTTCACCATCAGCTGAAAATAATCAGTGAAACTCTCACAGTTCCAGCCCCTCAGCAGATCTCCTCTGTGGAAGAAGTTCAGGCTTACTCAATAGGTGTTATAAATAATTCTGACAAATCTTGCTTAATTCTCTCCATTAGTACCTGCCACTTGGCTCAACGTAGTGGAAGAAGGATATTTAGAGTCAAACAGGAAATAAATACAGCCTGAGAATTCAGTCATGACAGCTGTTCCGTTCTTTGTAAACACAGATCTTCATTTATGCTAACTGAGAAGAAAATAAGTCAAATAAATTCTAGGTGGAAATTACATTTGCATTCCAAAGCCAAATAAAACAAAAAAAATTAAACTTCTTGTGGAGGACATCTTTAAGTTGTTTTACATAAAATCAGAGTATTCTATTCCAATTATGATCTCATTGCATTTTTTAAATGCCTTAATGTTTTAGAAAAGGTACTTGATTTCAGGAGGATATTTATCCATGCAGTTTCAATTCCATACATGTTTTTTAGTTTGTTTTAGGCTTTAGTCTCTCGAGAACTTTTGACTTAGAAGAGATCGTGTTTCATTAATGCATTAAGTAGATCTGTTGTATTATGGGGGCCAGTTAGCTCAGTGAGTTGAGCATGGTGCTAACAACACCAAGGTTGCAGGTTCAATTCCCATTCGGTCCCCGTG